TATTTAAAATTTTAAAAATATTCATTAAAAATAAAAAATAAAAACACGAAAACCAAAAAATTCAATTTTCAAAAAACTTAATTCAAAAAACTCAAACCAAACACTTGTTTTTTTGTAGTTTAGTCAATTTTTTTAATGTTAAAGATGAACTTAATTTGAATGTATTTAAAAAGTAAAATATTTATGAAAAAATATAAAATAATTCAATAAATACAAAATAATATGAAAATGTATTTAAGTGAATGTTTAAAATATTTTTTTACAAATTATATATTTTTTAAGTGTATCTAGATTAAGTAGATTTTAAAAAATTATTAAAATATTTAAAAAAAAAATTACAAAAAGTAAAAAAAAATACTTAAAAATTATTTTAGGAAACCCCAATAATATCTTAATATTATTTTATTTCATTTTTAAACTTGAGTAGTTCAATTATGTATTTTGACTTTTATTATTGTGTAAAGAATACAACAAAATCATTTCGAAAAACAATGGGGAAATTTCAATTCAGGCTAAATTCTAAAAAAATTATAATAAGTAATAAATTTTATAAATATTAATTATACGAAATACACTAATTTTTATTATGAAATTATAATAATTTTTTTTAGAAATGCCACCGTTAATTTCTCCACAAACAATTGATGGATACTTATCTGTGCCAAACGAGCCTTATGAATCCCCATCCGAGTTGTGGAGCCCAAGCCTGTTTTCATTCAGTGAAGTCACCTGAATTGTTCACTTCCACTTGTCACGTGATTTTTTCCATCTCTGCTCCATGCGTCAATCAGGCGCGTGCATTTATCAAATTGTGCTTCGGTGGTGTTTGGATTATTTTCGAAGAATTACACACCCAATTATGCAGTAATGATAGAGATTTCCACAACTCTTACTCTCATTCCAACTATTCATAATGTGGGGTTCACATGCATGAGTGAACCCCACATACACATTAAGGGTCAAAATCAAATTGGGGGTCATGAAACCCAAAAAAAAAAGATCCCAAACATTTTTGTTACAAATTAGTGTTATGTCAGAAAAAATAATAAATTTTATAAATATTAATAATTAAAATTATAAATTATTTTATTATTGTGTAATAATTTTTCAAAATACTCACTGAATATTAAATTTCTTATTATTTTTTAGAAAAATAACATATCAGTAACACGTTGTAAAAATAATAACAATTTCATAAAAAAGTTCATGAAATTATCTTCCAATGTTACAAAATTTTTCACTAATTTGTTTCCACTTAAATGATATTTTTTAGTGACTTTTTTTATTGTCTTTTTTTTCCCCC